ACGACCGTGTTCCCTAAAACTCGCGCATCCTTGGGTTGTGGGAGTGTGAGGGGGAATGTGTAGACCATCACGCTGCTCCAGTGACTCCACCCGAAGTCATGCTTGATGACTTCATTTAAAGTATATTCTCTCTCTCTCTTGCCGGTACGGCACAGACACTTCACCTCGCGGTTTCTGCGCTCGCCCTTGAGCAAACGTGGGCTTGTTGGTAAACAGTAATTTATCTTCCCAAACACACAAACAAATCGCGGGGTATGGCGAACGAGATGCGCTTTGTTTCGTCTCTATTTGCTCGCTGCTGCAACTGCTATTCGACGTTCTTTCTGACGCGCGCTCAATTGAGATAGAGCGTGCCAGTGCGTTCGGACGCGTGTATACAGTCGCGTGCGCGTTTCGGTGGCGGGTCGTGCGTTAGCTTGACGTCGTGATCGCAGTTGTCGCTTTCATCTTTCGGAGACTTGAGACTCTATATATGTCGGGCGAAAAGTGAGCAACTTCCCAGCTCCTCCCACGTCCGCCACGCTGCACTCGCTGTAAGGTATGCGGCAACGTGAACGAGTGAGTCAGCAGGGGTGGGCAGATTAGCGTCAGATTAGCGTCAGGATGGATGGATGGATGAATACGGCTGAGCCCTTTGGATCGGGCGGTAGCTTACGCCACCTAGCCATTTTGTTTTACCATTTAAGCTTAGAATATTTAAATGTGAAATCTATATTCACTCCGCAGTGCAAAGAAAGTGAGGCTATGAAACCCCCTTGCCATCAGTGATTAAGAAAATACCTAGTTTTCTCTCGATTTCTGCCACCATTCACTTAATCTTTGCTTGGTAATCTCTACAGTCTTGAAATCCACTCTCCCTTCGCTGTCTCTAAAACCCAATGACTTTACTAAATCTATGTTGTCTTCGGTAGGCATAGGTTGAAGCCCTTTACAGTAGAGTATCAAGTGCTCAGCCGTCTCGTCCTCCTCTCCACAAGCAGTGCACACTGTATCAATTTCCTGGTACTTCACTCTGTATGTTCTGGTTCGCAGAACACCCGTTCTTGCCTCAAACAGCAATGAGCTTCCCCTAGAATTGTCATAAATGCTTTCTTTGGCAATAACTCTTTTGTTTAATCTATAGCTTTCCAGAGCCGTCTTTGTCTGCATTCCCTCCAGCTACCAATCTCTTTCTGTGGCCTTAACTTTCTTCTTAACTGAGACTTGCTCTTCGGTATCTTCGCTATAGCCCAAAAACTTTCCTCTTAATTTCCTAGTGCGCTGTCTCCACTTTGTGTCTACACTCCTCATGTATAAATAGCTGAAAACCTTTCGTGCCCATTGCTCCCCGTCCATTTGCCTCAACCTATCCTCAAATTCTACCTTGCTCACCGCTTCCCTGCTCTCAAATGATGCCCATCCCATGTCTCCTTGTACTCCCTGGTTTGGCGTTTTGCAATGTACCCCCAAAGCCAGTCTACCTACTCCGCACTGTTTTATTTCTAGTCTCGCATGCACTTCGGATTTCATGCATAGCACTGCGTTTCCAAAAGTCAAGCCAGGCACCATGACCCCTTTCCAAATCTCTCTCACCACCTCATACCTGTTGTAATTCCAAAGTGCTCTATTTTTCATTACAGCTGCATTTCTGTTGCCCTTACCTATTATATACTTTTCATGGTCTCTGAGATATTCTGCACCATCACATATCCATACTCCTAGATACTTGTATTTACTAGCTCTCTCAACTGTAATATTCTGTATCTTCAGCCTCTCAACTTCATCCTCGTTAAAAATCATGACTGCCGATTTTTCGCTACTGAATTCTAAACCTAATTCCTCTCCTTCCCTACCACAGATGCTCATTAATTCCTGCAACTCTGTCCTGTTGTTAGCCATTAGTACAATATCATCCGCATACATCAATCCCGGTAAGGATTGCTGAATTTTTTGGCCTAGCTTACTGTAAGAAAGGTTGAACCCAAGCCCACTCTTCTCTAGTCTATCCTCCAATCCTCTCAGATACAACATAAACAGCAAAGGCGATAACGGGCACCCCTGCCTAAGGCCTCGTCTTATCTCTATTTTCCCTGTCGCCTTTCCTTCCCATGTTATAATCACCTTGTTATCTTTGTAAATGTTCCTTAATAGGGCTGTTAGTCCTTCATCTAGGTTTAAGTTCTCCATTATGTCCCACAGGTTTCTTTGGTTCACATTGTCATAGGCACCCTTGATATCCAGAAATGCCAGCCAGAGCTGTCTGTTTTCTTTTTGCGCTATTTCTATACACTGTGTTAGAGAAAATAAATTGTCCTCCAACCTTCTTTGTTTTCGAAACCCGTTCTGTAATTCGCCCAGTATGCCCTCGCAATCTACCCATTCCTCCAGTCTGTTCTTTATAATCTGCATTACCAACCTGTAAATAACCGGTGTCACGGTTATAGGACGATAATTCCTAATATCAGACTTATCTCCCTTTCCCTTATATATCATACTCATCCTACTAAGCCTCCATTCATCTGGAATATTTCCTTTTGTTATCATGGTACTCACTACCTCCCTTAGTTTTGCCTTAGATTTAGGACCCAAATTCTTCACCAGCTTGATAGGGATACCATCTGTGCCTGTCGACGTGCCACTAGGGACTCTTCGTTCCGCCTTTTCCCATTCTCTTTGTCCAAAATCCGCGATGTCACAAACTGGACTGCTACTTCCTTCGGTTCTCCTATCTTCCACATGTAACCGTTCCCGAAATTTCTCCTCCATCACTGCTCCTATATATTGTATCGCATCATCTCCCTCTAATTGATCTCCCTGATGCGAGAGTATGAACCTCTGTCTAGCTTGCGTTGTTTCACCGAGTGAGTTCAAGTGCTCCCAAAACTTCTTGGCAGCGTTTCTATCTTTCTTACTTACATTACTCATCCATTCCTCACCCTTTCTCTGAATTTTCGCATTGATCAAACTGGATGCCTCTCGGCGACATGTTATAAAATTGTCCCATTTTCTTTTTACTTCCGTTTCGGACTCCCCACTACGCTTGGAATACCTGTGTTCTCTAGAGGCTTCCTGACGTTTTTGTATCGCTTGCTTCACTTCTTTGTCCCACCAGCTTTTTGGTCTATGTCCTTGCTTCCCCTTTCGTTTACTCTTAACTTTGTCTAGTTCTAGAGCAAAAAGCCTAGTTAGGCTCTCATAGGTCCAATCTGTATGCCGGTGCCCTGAAACTGCTGCCTCTATTCTTTCAACAACTATTTCCAACTCTTTGTCGCTGCAGAAAGTTTGCTTTGAATTATGTTGTCTAGTTTCAGGATTTACTTCTCTGGCAAAATTCAGCTTAATACGTTTGTGATCACTACCAAGACTTTTGGAACCTTCTTCATCTATTTTCATTACTTGTAACTTACCATATATTTTGTGTGACATGAGTACGTAATCTATAGTTGAATGCAGATTGCCAGTTTCCCAAGTTATGTGCCTGTCACACTTCTGGCTGGTATTACATAAAACTACCGTAATATCCCGAGTCATCGCCCATCCCCGAGCCATCGCCCACCCCATTTTTTGGGCCAATATCAATTTCCGAAAAAACACCGAGTCATCGCCCACCCCTTCAAATACCCCAGCGCGGACTCTGCGATCCGCGAACACTCATCCTACCCGAATGACGCGGCCGCGGACCTTACAGTTGGAGGACGTCCGTGACAAAGTAAAACGAAGGAGGGAATGACACTTCTTTTTGTTTACGCATTTCCTCCGTGAGCGACCCCAAAGTGGTCGTGTATCCGTGCGAAAAGAAAACGATGGAGATAACAAAATAAGAGCTTGTTAATGTAACCGCGGAGTGTTAGGTCAAAGTCTGTCTCCGCCGAAGTAAGGTCACCGCGAACCCGCTCCTTCTTCCCGCCCGTCGCGACCGCGGTTGTGCAATATTTTAGGCAAAGCCAACGCGTAAATAAAGCTTTGCTGGAACGCCCTACACAGACGTTTGCAGAGCGTCCCAACCGTGCATTGATAGCCCGCCGTGCACGGACGCACGTATGTACGCGCCAAACAAGAAAGTTGCGCAAGAGCTTGCGATTGACAAGGCGCCCGACTTGGCCCGACGCCAAAATATTTGCCAACGCGACCGCCGGCTTTCCCGCTTTCCCAGCATTGCTCTTGGTCGCTCCTTTGGTCCGCTCGCTCGCTCGCTCGCTCGTTGCGCCTGGTCGGTTTGTCTATTTGCTTGTAGACTTTTCTTTTTTTTACTAACCAGGAGAACATAGTGCTGACATTCTTTCACGGAACAAACGTTCGCGCTATATGCAGATCGGCGGTGTTTCTAGCGCGTATGCAAGCAACGGACTTCGCTATAGTAAAATATTCTTTCGTGAGCATTTTTTTCGATAAAACAATGAAACTAAATCAAGTTTTGAGTTTGATGTATCTCTTGTGCATCAGCGCTAGATACGCAGAGAAAAATAGGCGGTTTTTTCCGCTTTATTTCAAGTGTTTGTGTTCACCCACCGAGACATGGCCCACCCCACTTTTTTAATGAATTTCAGGCGGTAGGGGGGTGGGCGATGACTCGGGATATTACGGTAAGTCATGTTTTTCCACCAGTTCTAGTAATATGCTTCCAGTTGAGTCCGTATACCCATCCAGACCCTCAATATGGGCATTCATGTCTCCCATAATAATTATTTCGGAGCCTTCCCCTAGTTCACTAATGTCTCTTGATATGCAATCAATCATTTTTCTGTTTTCCTCTTTAGCACCTGTCCCTGTCCATAAGTAAACCACTCCAAGGACTGTTGATTCCCCAGCGACTTTTCCTTTCAGCCACAAATGTTCGGCGCACTCCTTTCTGATCCTTTGAAAGTTCATATTCTTCTTTAAAAATGCTCCAATTCCACCTCCCTTCCTCGTTCCCTCCATTCTGTCAGATGAACCAACAGCAGCGCCACCTAGCGGTGTGACGTCAACAGCCCTCTGATCTGTCCCTCTCTGTTGAGTACTCTGTACCCTGTCCCATGCAGAGGCCCCCTCTTTGGCGGGGCTCGGGGGCACTGCGGCGGGGATGCGGGGGCCCTTGTGGTGACGCCGTGCAGCCATGCGCGAGGACGACCTGGAGGTGGCGCTCAAGGTGGTGGTGGTGGGCAACGGCGCCGTGGGCAAGTCGAGCCTGATCCAGCGCTACTGCAAGGGCGTCTTCACGGCCGACTACAAGAAGACCATCGGTGTGGACTTCCTCGAGCGCCAGCTCAGCCTGCGTGGCGAGGACGTGCGCCTGATGCTCTGGGACACGGCGGGTCAGGAGGAGTTCGACGCCATCACCAAGGCCTACTACCGGGGGGCCCAGGCCTGCGTGGTCGCCTTCTCCTCGACGGACAGGCAGTCTTTCGGAGCCGTCGAGGCCTGGCGCAAGAAGGTACCAGCACGGGCTGTTTTTTTCCCTTTTCTCGAGATTACTTTGCCTTGTGTTTATTTCTTGATATCGCTAAAGCCGCACTAGCACTGCAGACATGATGACAAAACTATCTTCAGACATGATTCAAGCATGTTCAAAGGTACTTCAAACATGCGCGCCTGCAGACAGTTCTAAAGTGATTAGCTTCCTTAGGATCTTGAAGCCGCCACTCAGAGGTATGTTTTTGGCCGTTTAGTTTCCCCGCTAAGTTTCAAGGGATACTTCAACGGAATTTGATATATAACCGTCGTGTTAAGAAATAGGCTGAATATGATCCACAATATTCGTAAATGACAATCGCACGTTTGTATTTTGAGCCTGATGGCTGTATTTTTTGTTATAAACGGCTCACTATGGCAAGCGCTCGGAGAGCAGCCATCGGAGGGCACGTCACATCCGCCGCAATCGTGACGTAGTTTGTCTCGGGATGAGGACAGCTGCGACGAGGCTGACGTCGTCAGCCATTCCAGCCACCGAAGCTATTGAAGCACGCTAGCGATCGGGCCACCGCAACTAACCGCAAATCTGCTTTTGTGTGAATTTTACCCAATCAATATTTTGCTACAGCGTCACATATATTTTTAATAAAGTAAAAAAAAACGCAACTGCCGGAACCGAAATCGAAACTGGACTGATGAGGAAGAGGAAATAGAGAGGAGGAGAGAGGTGGCGAAAGTCACATGCCTGTGGTACCTTTTCACCCCAAACAACGCATTTGCAGCTTTTTAGAAGCCCCCAAAAAATGGGTATCATATTTATTTTTTATTTTTAATATTGTGTGCGTGCCTTCGATGACCTACGACTTTGATTATATTTGGTAGTTGTGTCTCAACCTTAGAAAACGGCCTGTGACCACAAAGAAGAGAGTGAGCGCGACTCAAACCAGCCAGTTCTCGATCAGTGGTTTTCGGGCGGAAAGAAACCGAATTTTGAGCCACAAATTCTGTTCTGGGTAGTTGGGCTCTCATATGTCACATGCAACTAAAAACCTCGGCGAGCATAAATATCCTGTCAGTGTCCCTTTAGTCCGGACGCAGTTGATGATACCATGTAATTAGACCAATCAAGCGGCGTCAAAAGCGCGAGTCACTAGGTCTTTTTAGTTTGCGATTGGTTCGTTGATGATAAAACACTACAGACGAACACCATGACGGTGCACTTTTGACACTGTCTCATTGGACCCATCAGCTCGTAGCCTCGGCTGGGTCTGGAGTTATGGTGAGACGAAGTATAGCTGATCTTGGCATCTGCTCCAAAAGCGTCAGTACCAATATTTTGCCTGGTACAGAACCTGCTACAAAATGTCAAATGCCGCCTTCATCCTTGCAAACGTCTCCGCAATTGGTGTTTCTGAGTTCCATCGTTGGTACAGCCACTCCCCCACGCTTCTGAGGTTTTAGGACATCAAAAACGATGCCACCAAAGAATTGATTACATTCAGATGATTGAGGCACATGGCAGAAATTGTTTGCCGTCATGTTCAAGAACTACCTACCATTAAACGGCGTTTTATGGTGATGTCAATGCAGTACCCTTATAGGGTTGCGCCGGTCTTACCTCTTAGGACATTTTAATCTAGTACTGAAGAAAACATTCCTACACTTAGAAGTTATATTTTAAACCGCAGAAAAAAGGCATGATTCGAAAATTAAAGTGAACGGGAGTGTGTGGGATACAATCCGGTAGCTTTTATTTAATTGCCCAAATTTTAATACAAATGAAAACTATTATTCTAATAAATATTGACGTGCATGACACTTTGTGGAAGTAGTTTCTAAACTCTGCATCAATGTAACACGGGCTGTTGAGGTGCACACTTTATGTGTCTGGGTTCAGCACAATTGACAGGATTTTGAATTCGCTAACCAGAACCTGATTTCCCACATTCAGGTTGAGAATGAGTGTGGTTCCATCCCAATGGTCATTGTCCAGAACAAGATTGACCTCATGGACCGGGCTACTGTCTCCAAGTGAGTTTGTCAGACACCCTGAGGAGGCCTTCGCTGGGCCATCCAACTGGTGCGGCCTAAATGACTGTTTCCCTCACTTTATTCCAGAGAAGAGACGGAGGAGTTGGCGCGGAGGATGCAGCTCCGGCTGTACAGGACGTCTGTCAAGGAGGACTTTAACGTCAACGAGGGTGAGCTTCGTGGGCCAGTGCCGTTTGAGTTTCACTGCTTTTCGAACAAAAGCCCGTCCACGCACTTGCGTTTGCTTAGGACCAAGCTCTACTGGCGCCATCTATGAGGTGGCCCTGGAACTGCATGTCACTAGAGTGAAGGTTTCGCGGTATTTGTGAGGTCAAAGGTACATCCTATTTATGGAAAATGGACCTTTCTAACATTGTTAAAAACTTTTCGAGACAAGAAAAAAAGAACAATGCACGAAAAAATAGGAAATATACGGAAACACCAAGTGTTCCACGGCTACTCTATAGGTGGCGCCAGTGTGTTATCTCGTCATAAGAGATGACAAGAATTCAGTCGTAAGTAACCACAAGTGCGTGAATCATCCTTAAGGTAGTCTCTCTAGCAGCACAGAAGTCGGGAAAATTATTGCCCGTTGCCCAGCCATTACTAGGCAAATGGTTGGCCAATTGGCCAAGTCTCAATAGCCGAACAAAACAAAAGGTTGGCGAATGCTCGGCCATAGGGTTCACTGAGGCATATCGGATCGATCTATATTTTGATGGGGGAGGGGGTGAAGGGAAGGGGGGAAGGAAGGAGGGTGTAGCCCCATAACACCCCTCCCCCCAACCACCCCCCAAAGGAAATTAACTGGCGAAGGCTCTGCTGTTGCGATACTTTCACCATAGTCTGACGAAATCCCGAAACACCCTACCTTTTGAATCAGCACCTACAATTATCACAAAGTTTATAAAACAAATGGAAAAATAATTGCGAATTGGTCGTATTTCACTGCCATAAATTTTTTTTCCTTAAAGCTGAGGTCACACTGCTTATACATAATACAAAAGGCACTTTGCAGACAGATTTGAACGCGAGTCACCACGAGGTCTGAGCTTCAAATGCCGCATGGAAACGAGTTCAAGGAGACATCTGGCATGCGTCATTCGAACTACTTATACCATGGTGATTGATATCTGCAGACTGTCTTTTGTATAATGTATAAGCAGTGTGACCTCGGCTTAAAGGTGCTTCTAGTAGTAACAAACACCACAATATGACCCGCATAAGTTGTGTAATAAATAATAAACATATTAAAAGAAGGACAACACGGACTGCACTGTATTGTATGAAAACATGTGCTCAGGCTCAGAAAGCTACGCCAAACAACGTGCGGTGATAAAAGTACAGCATGATTATTTTTATTTAAGGAAATCCGAATTTTTTTTATGTACGGAGCTAATTTTTTTGTTTAGTTTTTGTTTTATATGCGCTACAGATTGCTGTTGAATATATCAAAAGGCGCGCTTGAAACGTTAGCTGCCTCATGTTCAGATAAGATCTCAAATTAAATAGGCATCACAACTTGTCTGTCTACTTCCCCAGAGCAGCTGTTCATTGTTGTACCACAGGACAGTAAAATCTCTGCAGTAACTTGACGTAACATGACTTTTTCTTGGACTCTTCTTTTTTGCGCCATGCTGAAACCACTGAAATGGCGAATTTGATGCCTGGGTTGAGAGCGCCTCCCCGTGGAGAGACGCCGCCTCCTCCTCTTTTTCCGCTTGCACCCTCTCTGCACGCATGGGACAGCTAGAGAAGTGTTTACGTGCTTTGGGATCTCGGAGGCCATGCTTTCACAGCAGCCAGTACACATTATTTCTACAAAGTATTACAAAAATCACTCGTGCTTATGCAGTAGTCGTAGGCAGAAATATGAATGAGAGATTTTGGAAACCTAGCATTTGTGCGCCGACTGCGTCGTCACTCGTTTATTTCTGAGCCACTTTAGCTCCTCACTTGTTGCAGCATGCTCGTGCACATCAGAGACTCAAAAGCTCGGATCTGTGCGAGCACTTTGTGAAAAAGGTCGCCTGGCACGTTGCTTAAACGAATAAAGAGCCCTAGCCATTCGTGAAGAAGGTCGCCTGGCACTTATCACAAACGAATAAAGAGCCCTAGCCAATTGTAAAGGCGGGCAGAGTACGGTATGTTGTTGCAACTGTGTTGAACGTGTTCTTTTTCGTTGCAGTGTTTCGGTACCTGGCGGAGAAGTACCTTGATCAGATGAACAACCCCGTTGAAGAGTTGATGCGTGGTCCCAACTCCAAGGGCCTCAGTGAGTGCAGTTGTGCGTTGTCGCTGCGGCGCCTGGGACGCGTCCCCGACCGGTGTGTTTAGCGTCCTATTATTCCGCCCATGCATCCAAAGTGGTCTCCAAGTGGCATCAGATGACATTGCAAAACCCGGAATGTCATGCTGTTGGATGTCGCGCTCCTGGCAGTTGGTCGTTGAAGTTCCGGCAAAAAGTGCGAGCAAACGCAAGTCTCGCTGTCGTCACGGCATCCCAAATCCTGGCTGCCGAAGCATCCTTGAACTCTCAAACTGGAGAACCACCTGCAGCGGAGTAGGCATCTGTTACATCGACCTCGGAAATTAAAAACAGCGCAGAAAGACGAGGACCAGACAAAGAAGTGACACGGACGTAGCGCTGCAGGTGGAGAACCACCTGCAGCGGAGTAGGCATCTGTTACATCGACCACTGCTGCTCTGACGCTGCCAGAATTGCGACCGGCGACAGCATGGCACTTCGACAATGCCATCAGGCGAAAATCGAAGAACCACCTTTTTGGTCTCGCTAAGCACACCAGTCGGAGTCGCGTTCCAAGCTCCGTATTTTCCGCAAAGTGTGCTGCAGTTGATCCACCTTTTTACACACATGCAGAGCAGACATATCTGCTAGGCTCTCTTTTGTGTGTCCGGCACTGGGCAACTGATGCATAGGAAGTGTGATTGAGCCTTCGGTTCCCATGCAGTGATGTGATTGCTGCGCCAATTGCGCCAAACTGCGCCAAGGGGCTAACCCTGCTACATCCTGCTACATTTTGCCGAAAAATGGGTAATCAGCGCCAAGCCTGCGCCAAAGGACCAGTTTTGGTCGCCTTCCAAAACCGAAACTAAACTGAGTACCGTCATTGAGCATGTGTGAGTTAGGTGGCGCAAGCGGCCGCCCGACACAAAGTACCCTGCATCAATCGTGGCATTGTAACTCTCGAGCCGGGGAAAAGAAGGGACATAGGATAGGTACAAAACTCCAATATCAGTGTTGAACCAGCTCGCCTGCACCCTTGCTTTAGTTACATCAATCGTCCATCCGGTCTCGCATTGTTTTTTCCGCCGTCACTTTTTTCGCGCTCTCGTCGTCTCGTGAACCTCGTCTCGCGTTTTGTTTTTTTTTAGTGATGAATGCGGGCGTGTGCGGACGCTCCGACGCTAACGTACTGGGTACCAGCCATGCCGTCACGCTGTGAAACTAAATTACGTTTTTGCGCGGCGGGAGTTACTTTTTGAACTGAAGCACTTGCTTCTGAAAGCAACGGCCGTGGGAAAACTATTTGGTCCCTGCCGGCCAGTCCGCACGTCGCTACAGATATGGAGCTTCCTAAACTGAAACATAAAGACCGCCGCATGTTCATCAACATTTCTGTTCTTGTTTAAAACATACGCTACTACCAAAATCTCTTTTTAACTCAAAGACTGCTGTGTGGAAGTATTGACTACGTAGGTTTCTCCTGGTTGGCTTTCTTTCGAGAGGGACCCCGGCACATGAAAAATCTGTCGCAAAAGAAAGTTGGTGAAGACAAGTGAGCTAAAGCAAAGAAGGCAATATCTGCACGCTGAACCCGCACAGCGCGCTTGTTTGTCTCGAGTTCAGTCGTTGCACAAAGCGCTCCAAGAACGTTTTGACCCTGACTCGCAATGTCCTGCATCGATGCGCTCAGGTTATTTTTTTTTCTGTATGTTTAGCTTGTACCTCGCCTGCCGGCCTTGCAAGCACGCGCCGCTAGACTCTTTACTGTCGCATGCTGGGCAGTTACATTTTGCATACATTTTTGGAAACCAGTTGGCGACAGAGCGGAGAGGCATGGATTCCGTTTCGATCGAACAGCAGTCTCCGCTCGCGCGACGAAGCACGTGCTGCTGCAAGCCTGCCGAAGTTGCCCTGACGTGCATGCAAACATGATTGCACGAATGAATAATATGTGAATAATATTCACATATTCAAATAAATTTTAATATGTGAAGTTTGGTTCTTATCTATCTATAGTGGGTACATATGTATGTATAATTGAACTGTAGCATTGCAAAATGTGTCGTGTCATTGACATTTTAGTTACACCCTGAAAGACTCCTAGGTGATCGAACTTGACCATAATTCGTTTATTTCGGTGAGCAAAGTGCCCTTCGTTTGTCCAGCACCTAAAACAAATATTTTTATTTTTTTAAGAATATCTGCTCCGAAAGCCACTTAATTCGGTGCTCCGAAACACTGTTTTGGCTGCTCGAAAAGCCACTTTTGCTGCTCCACAACATTGTTTTGGCTGCTCCAAAGTCCACTTTTGCTGCTCCAAAACACTGTTTTGGCTGCTCTGAAAGGTGCTCCAAAACGGCTTTGGCCAATCACATCACTGCCCATGGGATCCCTAGAGAAACTGTAAATGCTCCACACGCGGGGTAGGGTAGCTCTTTGATCCAAGTGTTGCGGAAGGCGTTTGCCTATTCTGCAGCAGATGACGTCGTGCAGCGTATAGCCTGGGTCAATATTGGCACGGCGGTACGCCTCTTTCCCTCTGAAGTGCTCACGTGTGCGCTGCGCAGTCATCGTCTGCTCGTCAGTGGCCGATTTAGAATGGCACTCACATTATAAAGAGAGAGCAATTACACACTATCGAGCTACCTTTACGCTCAAAGGTTCAGGATGCTTCCTGCTCGTTGGACTTTCACTCTCATGAATGCAAAGTAAAAAAATGTGTTCCACCCAAAACTCTGCGGTATGCCAGGCCGCTTGTCTGTGGCACTTTGGCACGTTTTTGAGCATGTGACCTCTTCTTTGCCAGTAACAAGCTGGCGTCGAAAGGAACAGAATTGTGATACTGCGATTCTGTCATTTAGTTACTCTGGGGACACTTGTCTCCCTTCTGTCTGGACTGTCGAATGTGCTGCCCAGTCAGAGGGTCCTGGAAAGGTATAAGTTAAGGCCAGTTAACACACTGGCGTTCTTGCGTAGAAATGTTTTATTTGTGTATTTATTTATGTTTAATTAGCTGTTTTTTTCTTTTCTAAAGGTTTTTGAGTGTTTATTTTTTCTCTTTCTTGCTTTATATAACAATGTTCTTCAGCCTGTACCCCCACCTTGTGTAATGTGTGTAAGGGCCTTCAAGCTTTACTAAATGATGATGATGATCTCTTACGACGAAAAAACGGACTGGCATGCTGGCGTTATCTGAGGTGACCCTGGAACTGCATTTCACTAAAGCGAAGGTTTTGTGGTATATTTTAGATTAAATGTATGCACTATCTACGACAAATGGTCGGTCATAACACTGTCAGAAGTTTTTTGAGTCATAAAAGAAAGAATAATGCGCGAAAAAAATAGGAAATATTTGAAAATGCAAAGTGTTCCGTGGGTGCCCGGTAGATGGCGCCTGTGTGTTTTCTCGTCAAAAAAGATCCCAACAGGTATTGAGGCACTCGGTCATAAGCAGTGTAGAGTGTGTGAACCAGCCTTTAGTGGAGCTTCCTTTGGTTCTCAGACACGGTCAGCAACAACCTGCGCAACGGACACCTCCTGAAGCCCAGCTCCGGGCACAGAGACGGAACCATCAGCCTGCACCGGCGGCTCAGGCCGTCGAGGAAGTCGTTCCGACGCAGCTGCGCCCTGCTCTGATCCCTGGGACTGCCCACTCTGCCACAGTGCCTGGCTCAGTTCAACTTCCGTCCACTCTGCCACCTCCTGCTCTTTCTACTGCCACATAGTTGCTGATGTCGCTTACCCCCTGCCTGGCTGCTCAAGCTCCGGGGTGCGGCTAAAATACTCAATCTGTGTGCTGGCACATCGAGGGGTTTTCACTGTCTAGGGAAGCTGTTGAACCTTCGTGTCTTGGCCATATTAAAAGCCAGCACCCACATTTTTTTTTTTTTTAATTAAGACATCTAAGGTAGAGACACAATGAATAATTAACCCCTAGACACATACATACACACCTTTATGAGTGCTCGTCAAGCCCTTAGCTTGTTTCTATTATCACTCTTTCATTTCTGTTCTCAAAATGGCCCATTGCCAACTCTCCTTTGAGCACCATTTCAGTAATTACCCATGAAATGTGAAACAGAATTTTGTGTACTAACCCTTTCCAGCTTGAGGAGCTTCCAGTGGCTGTGCCAAGCAACCAAGAACAGATAATCTCAGGCTTACTGGGGACATGCAGCTGTTGATAATTTTAACAGAAATGGATGTGCCTCTTTTATGTGTCACTGCGGGCATTCCGTGGTTCTCTCTCTCTCTTTCTCCTCATTATAAGAATAGTTGACTTGAGCAAACATTACTAGATCAACTTGGTTGTAGAACTCCCACACGTGGAAGCTGCATCTATGGCAGTTACGTAACTGAGTTGATCTAATAATGTTGGCTGGGGCCTCCAGTATAGAGAGAAGTTCAGGCACTTTGCCATAAAGATAATAAATTGGTGTCCCATGAAAGAGAGAGAAGGAACAAATGGCAGACACCAGCCTCCGATATTAGCGCCATGCCATATCAGCAGCCATTCACTGAAACATTTTCTGCTTTTGCGAGATGCATTTCGAAATGTGGTTCCGAGAATGACCGCTTCTGTGGTATGGCGCTGATAATTAATTAGAGGTCCTTATCCCCGCTAGGCTTCCCCACTATAAAGCAAAGCCCATGAATAAGAAAGGTAGCAGCATTATCTCCTTCCTCTGGCTCATACACCGTTTTATGCTCCTTCATACTTGTGTGTTCATGGTGGCTCCTCCTGGACTGTCTCAAGATGGCAGGCAGCATTCTTGAAAACTTGTTGCTTTTGTTTATGCTAAGACTAGTGCAGAGGAGGCTATGGTAACCAAGAGAAGGGGCATATCTACGTGAGCCTTTCTGAAGTACACACTCTAGTAACTCCAAAAGGCTTTACCCTGTGAAAGTGTGTCACAATTCGGAGACAAAGTGTTCACCATTTTGTTATGTTCTTCAGTGACGTGTGGTTAAAAGCTTCATGACAGGCGATGCAAAAGTTATTTACAGATTGCGCCAGAATTGACTGCTAATGGCACGGAAGTTTTCTGACATTTTCTATTTGGGCTTTTCCGCTAATAATGGTGACTGTGCCATGCACCAGGGGACCTGTATATGGAAACAGCTCTTAAGATATGTTTAGCCTGCCAGTGGCAGGAACAGCAATGAGCACCCCTTTAGAGTATGCAAGCCAACGAAACCAAGTGTTGACTGGCACTTGCAGCCATTTGAGGAACCAGTTTTAATTTCATATCTTAAAGCTACTTAAAGCCAGATAAATCCTTTCAAAAGAATTGAAAGTTCTGTAGAATGATTTTTTTACATATTTTGTTTATTAGTTTTTAGGCGATGAACGCTAATCGGCTTTTGGAGTCGAGCGATCTGGTAGCAAGCCTGGGGATAAATAACCTTGTGGTATAGAATCTCTGGTTTGCGACAACCTTGCACATGCAATTTTTTTTTGTAGTTTCTGCATCATCGAAAATCTTTATTACAGTGCTCCCTAAACTTAACGACGCCACAGGATGGTTCTTTTTTTGTAATCTTTTTGCAATATTCCTGCGCTTACCTGTTTAACTCTTGACTCCCCGATCACAACCCAGCCCGGGGATGGCTTTTTGTCTGCTGTTGTGATCAATTTAGCCTCGAGTGGGCTGCAAAAGTTTAGTGTTTGAGAAACCGAGTGGCGGCGTCAAGTGTAAGGAGCACTGGACGTAATACTCCCACGATGCTTCGCAGATTTAATAAAAAACAACGGTGATGATGTGTGTGACTACCAAGAAGCGACTCCCTAGAATGAAAACATTTCTTTAGCAAATTGTGCCACTTTTTTATTTCGACTTGACGTATGAAAGCTTTTGGGAGAACCACTTTACATGCATTTATACGCTGTTCGATTGTTCCGTATAGTCCTTTTACAACTGTACTTTCTTCCAAAGGATGAAATTTTTGAAAAATTAAAACCTTTCTTCTAGAACAACCTCCACGAACGGCTTAGCGCACATTCTTTCTTTGCGTCATCTTCCATACACATTGCTAAAGTGCTGCCAACCTCGTTTCTTCCCCGATATTTATCCGAAAATTCCCTAGATTTCCAGAAAAATTGTAACTTAAAAATAGCTTCCCAAATTTGAGTGGCCATTTGAATGTTAAATTTGAAAAAAATTTCAGCGAGCTTCTAAAACAAAGTTTATTGAACGTATAAAACCCGTTCATAACAATAAGAGAAGTAATAATTTAAACTGCCAGTTCGACGTAACCAGTAAAAGCAGCTTCACATAAAGCTAGGGTACCTCGATGTGCGTCTGTTTCGGGGTGAAGATATCAGTTGTTGCAACGAGGTTCGCCAGCGCGTTCTGAAGCAAACAGGAATAAGCATGAAATGGCACAAAAGCACTGGCTGGAGTGGAGCGCTCGAGCCGAAAGAAGCCAGGACTCGTGCACCCAGAATCGCCGTTACCACAACTCAACGTTACTAAAACACTCAGTTGGGAAACTCCCATAGAGACAGCTTCGAAAAAGTGGCCCCAAACTGTCTCCGCGCACCGAGCTAATGACGAACACAACGCGACCATTTATCCCGCAGCGGCCACTCGAGGAACTGCACGTGACTTCTATTTTGGCTTTCAGAACAGATACAGCGGTAGAAGTTACAGGGGTGCCACCCCCGTCTCCCCGGCGGACGCGCCGCGGTGAGCTACTGAAGTTAAAATGCACCTAGGGCGGGACGTGCTACCTGAAAGGCCCGCTGAGGCATGGTTTTATAAAAACAATATTAATTGTTCCGCAAAACCTTGCGAACTAAAGATGATAAAGACATCACGCGCCCATCATTTGGTACTAAACTCCAATAAATTTCATACAAAAAGAGTCTTTTCCGTTTGTTTTTACGGAAAAACAGGCTTTCAAAAAGCTCGAGGTGACCACAGTACAGACAAATGATAAAGAGTGGCGCTGTTGTCGCATTTAGCTCGGTCTCGGTGGACGCCAGCGGCCCAGGTTTCGACGGCGAGTTTCCCAACTGAGTGTTTTAGTAATGTTGCCACAACTGGAGAATATATGTGGTCCCGAAAATGTGCAAGGAAGCCTTCTTTCCGCTGCGCTCGGCCGACACAAAGAGGGAAGGGGGAAGAACTTGTTTCTAACCCCTCAAAAACCCATTAAACATTTTTTTTCTAGATTTGAACAAATTTACCTTGGCCCTCAACGATGACGGAGGAAACGATGACGATGGGGAAAAATCCCTAAGGTTGGCAGCAATGCTTTGCTCGCATTGCTGGGACAGTTGCACACTCCGACTCCGGGTGGACGAAAAAAAAAAAAAAGGAAGAAGGACATCGGGACGGAACAATATGTAAAATCATTTTATTACGTACATACATTCGATTTGACCCTTAAAAACTTTTTTTTTTCTTTTATTGTAATGTATAAAACTATGATACAGGGGCAAACACAATAAAAGTTTATGTCAACGTTTCGTTCTAAAGTAGAGAAGCGCGGTACGTTTGTAAACAGAACAAAAACAAACCGTAAACAAAAATTAATTTAACGTTGTAAACAGCCCTCTAGAAGGGGGCTTTAAAAGGTTATTCGAAAACCGACGCAGCCATCATTCGTGCGCTCGTGGCAGCAGGATCGTCGGTCAGGAGTCCCACTGGATGACGACGTGGCAGAGTAGCAGCCATCCCGTTGAAATGGCCGTTGTCAGCAGCATGACCGGAAAGCCAATCCTGAGACACCGGCGGAGATCAGGGTCATCGGGGGCAAGGCCATATTGAACTGGATACTCAGCGTCGCCACATTCTTCGAGGCGTCGTAGAGTGAACAAAACCATTTTTTTTTTCTAACGAGATATTATGGTGAAGCATAATATGACTGCGAGATTAATGAATGGTTAGGTACAACTAAGTAGTTCATCAGAGTGGCCATGTCACGCGTGTTTTGCATAATTGGATCTCGACCGTTGCAACAATCGCCTTTGTGGCTTTGGAACGCGTTCTGAGCATGCGCAGGATCTCTCTGGGGTGGAATGTCAGTCCCCTGCGTGTAGTCTTGGGGCCAGAGGCCTCGTCGAAGACTTTACGAGTCTCTACCCACAGGCTTCCAGGGAAGCCTATTTGGGTGAAAATTCACCCATATCTGTTCATAGATTTAAGAACGCCTCGTTGGTGACTAACTGCTGTTCCATTTGCGCCTAACTGCGCCAGAATGAACAACCTGCTACATGTTGTATTTGTGCACCATGTCTGGCGCCAAAAGGAAGCTGTTCTCGAAAAAGAAACTGCAAGTGCCTGGCACGTGTCATTGGTGGCGATGTCACTGAAAATGAATAAAGTATAATTGTTTTTTTTTTCGGATGCTTAAATACTATATGCGAAGAGTAGGGTTGCGCAAATATTCGAATATTTATATAGTTGCTTCAAATAATATGTTATTTGATAATCTCTTTGAAATAAAATGCGATATTCATATTTTTAAAAGTGTTGATCGCCGCGGGTTAGCCCCCTTGAGTGCGCTTCTCCTCCAGAAGAGGTGTTCTGCGGAGAAGCAATACCCATGAAGTTGATACCGCAATCTCGCGACTCGCTTCGTCGCAGCAGAGAAGCGCGCGCGGAAAACACAGCTTCAAAGTGGTCCGGTGCACGCGCACCCTGTTGTATTAAAAAAGAAAGAAAACACTGGGTATTATGCAAGCGTAGATATTAGGCAGCGATGTTCTAACAACATATGTTACTTATTTTTGCTTGTTTCTTTTTTAGAGGCGAAGCTCCTTAAGGTCCAGCCTTGTCCGTCCGTCCGTCCGGCGTCCGTGCTCACATAAAAAGAAAAAAAAAATGTTTGCGCTGTCGACAGGATTCGAACCTGTGCGGGGAGACCCGAATGGATTTCTAGTCCATCGCCCACTCGGCCACGACTGCGGGACGAGTAGGGGGCTCTGAGATGTGGTAGTAACTCAAAAGCTGGGGTTTGTGTAATGGATGAAACGCTGCATGTAGCCGCTCAACGTCTATACAGGAGGGGGCGCTGCGGTCAAATGCGTATATAATAGCATTAAACTTTGCGCGCATTGGCTCAACGTTTATGGACGAGAGGGCGCTGCGGTCAAATGCCTAAATCCGTATATAACCACGTTCCATACCACACATTCTCTTTCAGACATGGACCGTTGTCTTAAGCGGTGGAGATGCGTTCCCACGGCATCTAGCGGATCCAAGCTGATCCGCGAGAAGAACCACTGGCTCTGCATTTCACCGACCATAAAGCACTAATAATGAAGTCGAAACGCTTCCCGGAACTCAGCACTACCTATGAGCAGTAGAAAAAAATCAGCATCATCAGCACTACTTATGAACAATAAAATCAGTATCATCAGCACCTCTAGAGCTTTGCTCCAATCAACATCATTCACCACGTGGAGATGCGGTCATTTTTTTCTTCTTTAAATAAGAATGGAAGAAAATAGTTGCATGTAGCAAGAATATTTTTAAATCCCCTCAATTAGGTATGGCTCGGCTCCTTTAAAGGTTTAATTTTGTGTAAAATCTATCGTGTAGTTGCCATCCCAATGTAGGTAGTGGACTTTCTAAGGCCACAGTCTATAAATTTAGCTAGATTAAGTTTAGCAGAGCTCATAAGTAGGCAGTTAGAAGCTTCGGAACAAACTTCGCGAGTTCAGCTGAATTTTCTTTGAAGCGTGGTGTGTGACAGTCGGGAAAGGCTCGAAGAAAGGCGATTAAAAAAAATATTTGGCCAAAACAACTATTCACTTCATATTTGTTTCGAACCCAAAATTAATTTGCACATTCCTTACGAAGAGTTATCGGGGTTTGTGCCAACGGTGCTCACCTCGATGGCAATGAATAGCTAGCGTTATTCATTGTGATCGGCTAGAGTAGCTATGTGATCCGCTTAGCCTCTCTATGAACAGTAACAGGTAGAATACGAGCGAGAGCAGTGTGATACAAATTCTACGAAGTAGCCAAAAACATTTTTACATCAAACACAAACCGAAGATGCCATCGGCACCCCTAATATGTTAATTACGACATTTGCAAAATAACCGCCGTATGATTGTTAAATATATAAATAAAAACCTGTAGCGGCCAGGTCCCCTGTAGGTATGACACTTTAAACAGTCTCCCAACACTCCAACTGCAGTTTTTTTTTCCACAGGCTAACTTTTAAAGATGTACTATAAAAATATTCGGCCTTTCCACTCTGGTGAAGAAGGAAGACCAGCGAAGCTGTACTATGGTGGGAATAAAGTAATGGCCGGCCGCAAGTCGGCAAGCCAGAGTGGAAAGGCTGCCGCCATCTATGAGCGACGACGGCAACCAGTAAGCCGGTTGTCTGGTTGCCACCGTCACTCATAGATGGCGGTAGATGTCCAGAGTTTTGTGTCATCATTTGTTTGCTGCCGGACACGATACTGGGGAAAACATTTTTGACATGAAAGCTCAAAATTGTTTGCTACAAAAGTGCAATTCTCTGCTCCAAAGCCCATTTTTCCCTGCTACAGGAGCTGCTTCCAATCGCCACTTGTCAGTTCCACCACTGCTTCTATGACGCCTCCTTGTCATCAACCGACCACCGACACATGACAGTTGGTCGCCAACAAAACGCTCTCGTCTTCCATCCTTGCGGGATTCTGCTTTAGAAGTCCGTGAGTAACAAATCAGAAAATGTTTCCAGAAGACCCACCGAAGAAATTGCACGAAGCTGAACTTGTAGCCGTGCTGCTCGGCCACCCCGGCGCAGACAACGTTGGCAGATGCTCCGATCAGGGTTCCGTTGCCTTTGGAAAGAGAAGAAAAATCTTTTTTTCAGTACGTTCGGTCAAGGATGGGGGGACCAATTCATGGCATTTCTGGTGTGTTGCACCAGGAGCTCGAAGCTCTCGGTTCTCCAGATCGCCGAATTCGCGTGACGGGAGATCCTCACGGAGGAAAACCGCGGATCAAATCCAGGGCCCTGGTTGGCCTATTTAAACGTCCTGCTCTTCCGCAAACCTTCGAACTAGACGGTTTCTGACAGTAAATGGAGCAGTTTTGACGGCGACGTGAAGACAGCGGTCGGCAGACGTGAAGATGGCGTCCGGTTGCGATAGGGCCGTAAACCCAGCAAGCAAATCTCCGAGGTGTCATAATCGGCGAGGTGGCCTTCGTGTTTGCGTAAAACACTGACGGCTTTTTACCCACGCCCCCCGCTCCAGCCCCCCTTCCCCCGACCCTTTCCCCCTCCCTCTCTCTCTCTTTCTCTACCGCGTAAACCGTCTCACTAAAGCAGTGCAGTAGAGCCAAAGCTACATGGGAGAAAGTGTTCAAGAGACCTGTTCAACAGGAGGAATGGGAGAATCCCAGCCCCTCTCTCACTTTCCTCCTTTCCCTCCTCTTCAACAAGTTGGCATACGCTCTCTCCCCTGTAGTACTGCACGATTTTTGTGAGACAGAGTATAGTTGCCGGCGGGGGCGCACTTGGGACGTTTTTGAAAGAGGGCCAATCACGGTCCCCGGGTATCGCCCCAAAGTTTTACTCCGTGAGGAAACAGCTATAGGCTTCCCGAAAGGGAGCGAGGAGACTCACCGCCCAAGCAGGAACCGAAGGCTAGCGCGTACACCAGCGGAACCAGCCTCAAGCCCAGGTCGCTTTCGCCGAGTCCAGTCACGATCTTGATCTGAAAGGGCACAAGACGCGTGTTAAGCCCGTTCCACATGCCGCGACTATTCTCCAAACGCTGTTCGGTAGTTAAAAAGACACACACAAACTTGTGAGGTTTTACCGAAATTCCTTTCTTGAAGTGTCACTCAGGGAGTGGGCCTTTAGGTTGTCCCGGTAGCAAGCGAAGAAGGTGCAGTGTAGGGATAACTCCCTGGAGCTTGCACGCGTAGAGTTGATCGCTTCAACACAAGTCTGAGCGTAGCCGTTGCTACGAGTCGATGGGACCACCTCATGGCCCGTGTAACGAGGTGTACGAGCCGTGACCTTGCGTTTTAAGTACGCAAGTCTGCATTTTTAAGCCGCAGCCACTCTGCTCACACATCATGGCAGAGTGTTCCCTGCAGACAAGATGTCATTTGCGGACACGGCTTGAGCATTTTCCCAAGCAGCTTTATGGAGTTGTGTGCTTCGAGCATGTCTGTAGACACTTTTTATGTGATCAGCGTCATACAAGTAAGAAACACGCCTCCAATCTTCCGTCTGGTGTATTAACGGTGTAGGCTGAAACCAAGTGTAGGACCGTTGTGTAAAGCGGACACGCAGACACAGAGGCTCTTGGCTTGCCGAGCTGCGTCTAGACGCTAGAGAAAGTCGTTCACACTTGGTGTTTCAGGCGTTTGAAATAGGAAGCTGTCCTTGGCGCTCATTCAAGGAGCTCTCAAATAAGAATTAGGTCAGTACCATCTAGACGACAAGGCCTCTACCCCCAGCCGCCTTACGTCATCACTAGTGGGTCCACGCCGCGCCGCCTAGCTCGCTTCAGTATCGCCGCCATTTCGTCTCGCAACGTGCCATACTGGGCAGCACGCAGAGACGCCAAGACGAACTCATCAGCCGCCCTGTGGCGTCCCTCACTCAGCTTCAGCGTGTTAGGGGGGGATCGGTGGTCCACTAACGATGACGTCACACGCAGGCCTTGTCTTCTTGGTGCACAAGCTTCGAAGAGCGGCACTTCCAAAAGGCGTCTCTGTCACGCTTTCGAGCATCTTACCATGACCGTGGTGAAGGGGATGTTGTCCACGAAAGAGGAGACCACCGAGGACACCCAGGTGACGATGAGAATGGACACGACCAGCCGGGACTCCTGGCTCACGCCGCGGATCCAGCTTTCGGTCACGTGGCCGACGTACAGCAGCAGCTTCAACTCGGACAGGGCCTGCGACCCACAGCGCTTCGATTAACAAATCCTCTCCGTCTCTGGCTCACCGTCTCCCTCGTTGTCATTCCTGTTGCGATCCTTTCTGCATTCAAGTAAATCACGGAGAAGGAAAAACAAAAATGCGTTGTTTGCCTCGTAGTAATGCTCGATTAACTCAGAAAATTTTACCGGAATACCCGTAGCTACATATACTAAAGCCCCTCGATGTGTTCGTGCGACGCGAAGCGTGGATTTTATCGAAAAGCTTTACGATATCCCCTTAGCAACAGCCAGCGAGCGATGAAATGGCGGCCATTTTGAATATGTCTGCCATTTCTTTATAAACAAAAATATGTTTCATTTACGACTATACTGAAAAGGTGACCGAAACCGAGAAGTAATTTTTCCTCCATTTTTGTGACGCATTCGTTTGCATGGCCAGCTTGTGCTCAAAACATTGCGGCGTAGCCAACGAAGTGAACCCATAGAGTTATGATAATGTACGCTAGAGGTTGAACTGGCGCTAGTGGGCTGATGCAAATTGAAGCAGACAGCAACTAGTGGAAAATTAACTTCCGGTAATGCATTTTATGGGAAAAAGTGAGTGCATTTTCTCACTCGATTATACGAGCAAATATCACTGATAATTTGGAAGTACTTTAGGTTGCTCGGAACATTTCCCAGTCACGGAGACGAAATAACTCGTCAGCTACGGCTTTTTTCTTTCAGATTTGTGGCATTGAATACTGTGCTAAAACAGCTTCGTACATGCATTTATATGCACTGTCGGACACTGTTACCGCGAACACGAAGTCTGCTCTTTTCAGCAAAGGGATATACGTGCCAGACGAATGAAGGACATCTGGAAAACCAAGAAAAACAGCAAGAGCTACGCAGTAACACTGGATAAGTAACTTTTCGTGCATGCAGGCAATCAAAATAAATTTAAAGCAACGTAATATAGTCCGATTTGCAATAAATAAGTACTGCTTTATTCTTTCTGCCCATGAATATATGTGAGGATGCTTGTTCTGCCTTCAAAACATCATTCACGCGCTTGAAATCTTTGTAAATAGGGAGATGCCAGAAAACAAGTGCCGGATAGAACTGTCCGGCATAGTAAATAATAAAAAGGAACACCTGTCCAACTTGCGCACCTGATTCTCTACGTTTCGAATGTTTTTAACCGCTCGTAACGATGCACGACAGAGTCATTTGCACATAGTGACAACACGGGCCTATTACCAATATGTATGCGTCACCCGAAAACTGGCGAACTTTGAACACACTCCACGTCCTTTTCGAATGTTATTTTGCCTAGAATTGTCTATGCTTTTTACACACCTGATATGGAACAGATATTTGGGCCTGAAATATAGCGAAGTTTTACATCGTTTACTGGTGAAGAAAGATACTGTAACTAAAACAGTTAAACCTTTACAGTGATAAGAAAGGTTGCTAAGGTTGAGGCTTGTGCCAGTTGGTATGACATATGAGTATTAAAACAGCGCAAAGGACGAGGTAGCAGATGAAAAAACACATAGGCGCTGACTCAACTAAATTGTATTCGTCAAAACAGCGCTATATATATGAGCGCAATGAAGAACAAAAACAAAAAAAGGGAGAGAAGTCTTGCTCCCACAAAATTCAACCTAGCTTCGATAAGTAAACTGAACGCCTCACAGCCGCAGAATTCCCCTTCCACGTACGGATAACGGTGTCCGACACTCTGCTCAAACAAATGATGATTGGGCATTTGACGTGCGAAGGCACCGCCAAAAAGCTCGAGGTACTCCTAAGCACTTCTTATGAGTTGTGAATGCGAAAGCACGCACGCCGCTCGTCCCCTCCCTTTGTCGTCTGCTGCGTACTAGCGCGCTTCGGGATCTCAGAGGCCATGGCGCAATGACCAATGGGAGCCCGGTCGACGCACGCCAGCCAATGGGACTGAAGGGGCCGGAAACCAGTAGCCGTTTTCACAGTCAATGCTTTGTCAATGCTTTGGAATTAAAAAGCACGGGAAAAAAGGAAAGAAAGTTTGTTGTCAATGCATATAGTCACGGTTTGGCCCAGAACCTCAAAATAATCGCAGGCAGATGTGATGTGGACCTTTTGTTCTTTTCTTTTTTTCTTGACAGCGCCGATATATATAGCGCCGTTTTTATCACCAAAAGTTTGTTGTGAGTCAGCGCAGTGTCTGCATTTCTTCATCTGGGCCCTCGTCTTTTGCGCTGATTTAATTCTCAAATAATAAAAGCACACACTATTCGGTGCGACCGGAAAAAAACAACAAAAGTTATGCATGTTATTTTCCGGCGAAGAGAGAAAATGCGCGAGAATTTTCTCGGAATGCACTGGAGCACCGCAAAAGTACACTCTAAAAAAAGGGTGTAGTTTTACACCTATTCGTCCCGTATAACGCACCCCAAAACTCAAGTTCGACGTACAGCACACTGCCGTTGAATTGACGGCCACAACTTTAACGAGGGGCTTGATAACGGTGCGGTATAACTTATTAAACAGCTGAAGTACGTATCAAAGACTACGGAAAGAAAACACTATGATTTTTTTCAGTAAAAACAAAAAGCTAAATTTTTTTTTGTAGACAGTAACACGCAGATTAGCTATTTTAATAAGTTGTACCACTCCGCTATCAAGCCGTTCATGAAAGTTTATACCATTACTTTGACGCCAGTGCGCTGTACGCCGAACTGAAGTTTTGGTATGTAGTATATGGGACAAGGGGTGTAAGTACTACACCCCCTATTTCTGAGGGTGTAGACTGGTTGCTATTTGCTCCAGTTTGCATCCCGGAAGTCGCATTATACACTAGCGCCTGTTGAACCTCTAGCGTACATTATAATAATTCCATGGGTGAACCGACTCACCTCCATGACGACGAAGAGGGCGCCGAAGAAGATGAGCGTTGTCCACTCGACCCGAGCAATGACTCCCTCGAGCTCGGACAGGTCGGCCAGGATCATGAGCGTCACGGCGCCCAAGATGGCGATCCATCCTGAAACACGTCATAGAAACCTTCTCTTGCCGTCACCGGGTTACGCAAACAGCTCAGCCAGAAAATTCGGCGCGCGTTGCCATGAACCACCTTTACAATCGACGTTATGACGGAGCGGGGAAATCTAAAGGCAAACGCGAACCCTCAGATGGCTTTAGTTCACTTCAGAATGTCGTCGGATGTCTCCGCTCGAGAATCCCTGAGGTCACAGCAGTATTGTGTTCCTTTGGTGCTGGATGAATCAGCATATGAAAGCACTCCAGGTACAAGTTAATATATATGCTCAAGCGTTAGACGCCTACGTGTGAGGCACGAAAACGAGGGGCCGATGCAAATTGATGAGCTACCAGCCAGCGGGCCAAGATGGCCGCGGCCTTTCAGCGAGCGGCGTCTACCCACCGAGGCTGAGGTGCACGTTGGGAATGCTCTGCATGAAGAAGAGCAGGATGACCACGAGCAGCACCAGGCCGGACTTGATGAGCAGTGACCAGTTGCGGATCTTGTACTTCTCGCTCAGTGTGCGCAGGTTCTCGCGGAAGTCCGTCGACCTGAGGATCCAATCGTGGCATTCTTTGATATATGCCAACACCGCCTAGAACAATCAAAACCTGTGAACTACCTCCACGCAGACTTGTACATAATCCTTTACAAGTGACGAAATTACTTGTAATCCCTTACATTTTGCATTAATATAGTAATGGACTGATTACATATTTGCGAGAGTAAGTGTAAAGTAATTCCCTCACATATTTATGTACTAGATTCGTAGTAATCCCTTACATTTTCTTCACAACACCCCCCTCCCCCCTAAAAAGACAAAATAAGTTTTTATTTTTTTTTTTTATTTTGGTAAAGTCGAGCGCGGTCGCGCTGTCACGCGCATCGACCAGCGCAAGGGAAGTCTTGGCACTCTTCGGTTACCCAAAGTCTTTCTTTACAACACCAAGCCCCTGAATCTATTATAACCTATTTTTAGACCCTAAAATCAATGTCAAAAGATTCAAATGGGAATTTCCACGAAAAAAGAAAAAGAAAAATAAGTAGGGGGCAAGCTATATTCGCTTTTTTCAAGTCCCTTAGTTTTTTCTTTGCGATCGAAGACGGGGAGAATAGGACACCAAGTGATTGTATGACTCTTCGAGAAGCTCGAGGCGGTAAGTGCACAGACACGAATTAACAATTTGCAACTTTCACAACCTATAGGGACGCACTGGCGCCTATCAAAATGGCTGTCATTTGGATTATCGTCGTAGAACAGCAGTACGAGGCTGGGTCTGCGATGTGCAAATAATTTTAGTTTTGCTATATACGAGCAGTATTAGAGCCTTAGTTTATTTGTTCACGTCAGGGAGGTGCAGGCAAGCACATTTATTGTGAAGCCCAGGAGCTAGGGAACATGATTTCACAGCGCGGCACCACCATCGCTGAAAGTTGCGAATATCCTTCTCGGTTGTAGTGACTACTAGACTTTTCATAATGTCACAACAGGAAAGAACGCTCCGTCTACACTAAAATTTATTAAAAGAGATGTGATAATATGAGAATAGGTGTTATTGCACAAGCATTGTCGTTCGTTGCTGCACACTTCTCGTCATCTCTTAGAAAACAGGATGCCTTTTTTTTCTGCTTCTTTTCACCTTGTTTGACATGGTTTAAAAAGCTACTTATTTTTTTGTAGTCAAACTTCTAGGGTTGGCCCACTTTATTGGTGAATTCCAGCTAAGTTCTCTGCATCTCAGTCACCCTTTCTATGCGTCAGCTTTTTGCGAGCACTTCGAAAAGGATAATTATCTTCCTTTTTTTTTCTGTTTTTGCACCATCAGGACGCAACTTATCTCAAGCGGGGATTTTTACAAATAAAGCAAAATTGTGGCTGACAAAGATTTGAGGTTCTGCGCTTGAAGAGAGAGTGAAACTCGTGAGTGTGGCAAAAGTGCGGCTTAGTTCTCTGCACTTCGCTGCCCGTGGCATTAGCGGACGTCTATTTGGAGAACACCGGAATAAACTGCAGTCGGTCCATGCTCCGTGCGCTTTTGAACGACATGAAGAAATGTACACACGGCAAACGTGCATTTACTATTCGTTGTTTTAACCGACGTTCTAATTAATTGTTGTTATGAGTGGCCTGGTGTTTTTTTATTATTATTATTACTTATATTTATATATGAAAAACGTTTTCTCACTCATCAACGTCTCAACTGATGCTCGACCTGTTCAGAACCAAAAGAAGAATATTGTTCCAAAGCTTATTTAATATTTATTTATCACTGTACTGTTATCAACTCTGTTTTGCAATTGTCTGGCAATATATTCCGATAAAGTAAGATGTACATAAACCAATTTTCATTCCAGTTTTGACTAGCTTTATGACGACTTTTACAGCTTCACGCTTTAGACAATAGAGAATTTTAGTAGATCGTTCCAATGACTCCGATAACGATATCCGGTACTCCGCCGCCGCCTTTGCGCATGCATCATATCGTTATCGGGTACCGTTATCGGGGGTATCGGAGGTATCGAAATTATCTACTAAAACTCGAATATCGTGCAACGGCTGCAACGACGAAGCTTTGCTCTATCTTCGAGGTAAATAGTACTTCCATGGCTTTGCTCAAGAAACTCCATGCAGAGCAGAAATCATTCGTGAGGCACAAGACGAGATTCTCATCCAATGCCTCAGTTCAAAGGGTGTGTTCAGCGTAGCAGTCAACATGTTCAGTAAGAAATGACGCAAAATATCTTACGAGACTTTCGAGAGCGAGCTGTTGCTCAAAATACTGAAGGCTAATAAATGCAACAGTTGGCAACAATGAGAACTCGAATATCCCTCTTCTCTTTGTTAATGCGAAAGCATTAACTCTCTCATAGAGCGAAGCGGGCGAAAAAGGCAACTCATTTCTCATTTTCTGTGCAATGTCTGTAGCAGCGAAACGGCAACTAAATTCCCATTGGCTGCGAAAAAAATCTCATGGAGGTTTCTGTAAACGAAGTAAACTAATGGCATTGAAAAGAATTTCTCCCATTTCGGCCCGGGTGGGAATCGAACCCGGGCCTCCAGGTTGCGAAACGAGATGGCTTCCCCGACACCACGGCGGCTCCACGGTTCCGGCTGACGAAAGCTGTGCCGTGCGTCACACTTTCGCATTTCCACACGTCTCTGTTTCTTACTTGAGGTGAGTAATGTTGGAAGTAACGCCACGAAAGTAACGAATTACTTTTAGAGCGCAGCTCTTAGGCGCCCGTTTCCGGCTTGAGCGGCGTCGGCGTAACCGCACGGTGCATTATGGGAAATGCCCCATAATGCAACGCGTGGGACTCGTGACGTCACAAGGGTCCCGTGCGGTGCATTATGGGACATTTCCCATGATGCAACGCGCGGGGAGGAGGTGGAGAAGGAGGAGGGGGAAGAGGAGAAGGGAAGAGGAGGAGGAGGAGTAGCAGAGAGGATGATGAGGTCAGGACGAGGGAGAAGGAATAATCCCTCCCCTCCAATACCCTTCCCTTCTCCTCCTCAAGAGCTGCGCTCTAATTTGGCGTTAAAGGGTGTTGTAAACGTCTTTCATTTTTGAGGTAACGGTCACTCACTTTTATAGGAGGGTAATTGTAATTAATTACAATTTAGCCTCGAGTAATTGTAAATGTAATTCCTTACAATTTTTTTAGTAATGTGTACAAGTCTGCATCCACGTAACCTCATCATACTAGGATGACGCCAACTCAGCCATCGGTCACGAGCCCTTCTCCGTGCACCCTTCGACGCATTGATAAGACATCGAACGCTCACGCACTACTTGTGTTGGATTTGTCAGAGTTCAAACCCACTATGCTGACGTCAAACTTCCAGCGCGCGGACTTCGAATATTCAAAGTGGTGTATCATATTCCCGGAGTCCGAACCTCCTCTTGGAGCTCTTTCAACGCCCCTGCCCTGGAGGGTCATCGAAAATACCTCCCAGATAACTAGGCCGTAGCGCCGACCATGGCGGAGCAGATTTCACACGGGTGCTGCATCCGCCTTTGGTCGGGGTCCAATCAGTGAGTTTCACCTTGTCCATTTTGTATCCCGCGCTGGCCTCTGGTGAGTCACGTGAAGGATCCAACGCTACGGCTTGTTTTTCAAGACGTTAGATGAAATGATGTACGCGAAGTTGCGAATATTTATGCAAGGCCAAATTTACTTCCACCTGAGTTGGAGCGCGTGTTACTTAAGAGGTGTTGCATCGAAGAACCCGTCCGCAGTTGGGGACAATGAAACAAACATACACGAGAGCAACAAGACGAACAGTACGATACATAACCACTGGTGACCAGAAGCAGATGACCATCCAACTAAACGCGACATTCCGCTCTTAACCAAGACGTTTGGATCGTACCTTTCGGTTGTGAAGAATGGTGGGTGGATGGATGCTTGTGCATTATAGCGGTAAAATATTCTTTACCAGACTATTCGTTTCGAATTTAGAAGTATAGTGCTAAAAGGCACACCCTTACTTTGTTTTTTTTAAACATTGGCTAGGTGGCGAGAGTCGCCGCCCCATTAAAAGTTTTCAGCTTTTTTCATCCGTCCATTCATTTGGCAAGTTAAGTGTTGGCTAGATGGCACGAGTCGCCGCCCGATTCATAGGTTTCAACTTCATTCTTTCATCCGTCGATTTGTCAAGTTAAGTGTTGTCTAGGTGGCGCCAGCCGCCGTCCTATCAAAAGTGTCGAGAGGTATCCATCGATCCACTTGGCAGGGTTCCCACCTGACATGGTGCGACTTCTTGCTCTGCTGCCGAACCAGCTTGCGGACCTTCTTGGACATGACGTCCCGGACGTGGCTCTCGTCCCTGGAGTACTCCGACAGCGAGTGCACCGCCTTCCGCCACACGTCGATCTCGTGCTCGATCTCTGCAAGTTGCGGCCACCGCCCATGCGCATTCAGGCACAGTTTTTTTTTGTTTTTAAATAATAGAATGGCAGGTGAAATGCAAGAAGCCCCTTTATCTCAGCAGAATCGATACAGCGTTATGTCGCGGTCGCACTGCTAATCCATCATACAAAAGACAGTGTACAGACACTGACTGAGGCGTGTTTCTTCATTGTACACGGTCCTGGCAGATTGGTCATACTGTCTTCAGACATGTTCTAAGCACGCACATGAGCGAAGCAGACATGCGGTGAACGTGCTCTCCGGAAATATCTCTCATGTCTGGAGCGAACCTTGCGTCTCTTTTGTCGGATGTTTCAGGAGTGCGACTTCGACTTTAGTCAGCTCTTTTCTGCTTTGTTTTGGAAACACGCGTGATGGGAAGAAAGTGGAAGTTCTGCTGTCCCAACATAACAACTTTAAATTTGAAATGTAGCAAAGATTTACGTATAAGCACGAATACAGATCGACCAGGTCCTACAGTAAGTTTAGTGGAGACAATATTAAAGTTAGAAACACGTGCTGTCCTAGTGATAGAAGAGAAAGCGCAACACGATTCACCTTTGCGAAAAGGTGGGAGGCGTTTTTGCCTAACGTGTGACAAAGAAAACCGAAGTCCGTGGTGCATTACGGTAATTGACTCGGATGAGGACAATGAAAACTGCGAAACTGAAAACTCCCGCATTTTTTGGGGGCTATAGTCCCCGGACTATACATGTTTAAAAGTTCAAATTTTAGTCTGCCCGGACTACGCAAAAATTTTGTTTTTCCAGATTGTTCATTGTGACGACAAGTGACGAATTTCGCTAATGAAAGAGGATGTTAATGATGATTTATGTATAATACGAGCTTGTTTGTGAGCTAAGGAAGCGCACATTTGTCAAGGTGTGCAGCCATGTATGAGAAAACTTTTGTGTCGACTAAGCAGCATGGCGCGGTCTATTTAAACAAACACTTATTTTTTACTCTAAATGTGTCCCTGCGATTTATACACCGGGTGAAGGCTATAGCCCGGAAAATACGGTATTAGGAAAAAAACAGTATTCACTGTAAAAAAAAAGGAAAAATTTGATTAGTATTTGACAAATTAAACTATAGGAGAAGTGAATGTGGTGGTGCTTTATTCAAATTTCGAGAATTAGGAATGGGCGCCCTTGAACTTCGAATCAAACCTGCCGGGTAACCAACAGACACGCGGTTGGGCTTTGCCCCACGCAGCAACCTTTTGCGCGAAAGCTAGACTTAGAGAAGGATGGAAATCTCTCCGGCAACTCTAACGCCATTTCACGCACACACACACACACAAAAAAAGGGGGGGGGGGGCGTGTAACACCGTGTAGAAATCATCTTCAAATAAAATAACAAAATTCGGTCAAGATTAGTTGATTAAAAATTTTATGTACAGTTAATTTTACTAACGTCGGGTAGCGAACGCAATTCAAGGCTAGTTTCAGTACCTTCCGAAAGCGGCGTTTAATTTTGATTACCTAATTTTACATAAAAATTATTTTATTTCAAACCGATTCTCAAATAGGTGATTGCAACTACTTAATTTACACTTTAAAAGTAATTCCCAAAATTATGCTCGAAGCACGCCGCTAAACTTAATTTAAAAATCGGCGTTTCTTTTCTCGTGTGTTCTCCATCTTGCAAAGTTTTCTGAAAGACGTCAGCTTCTCCCCACGCACTGTGGCACTAAACTCTGTTCACCCCCCAGTTTACAGCGCGGTGGAGAGCTACGGAGTCGCTGAACCCATCGATCCTTTTGTCAGCCGGCGGCTCGACTCCCTGCGCGTGGGTGGGGACAGGACCGTGATGAAGAGGCGAAAGTCAAACATACGACGCGTGTCCAGCGAGCACGCGTACCTTCCACCTTAATATCTTGCGTTCCCGTAGGAAAATGTCACACAGACACTTTGTTTGCGTTGGTAAGCGTCTGGCGTGCCCACTTGGCTACTCTGATGGGGCCGGCCTTTTATTGGATATATGCAACATAGGTGGCGCTAGAAGCCGTACAAACAATACATAACACACCTCACCGTCAGCTCAAAGCTGGTGATCGGAGTACGGAGGTGACGCACACAACACCGCATAATGAAAGTTTCCTTCGTGTGCGTGGTACGCGGTCCTACGATTTGTCCCGTGTCGTTTCTATGCATTTTATGGTTACGGGAACGCGGCTGGCGCATATACACCAACTCGACTCTTCGACGCTACGTGACTGCGGCTGCGCTGCTGTCCGCTCTGCGCATGCGCGTCACCTCACGCCACTCTGCTTTCTGCGCATGCGCAGTGCTAGTCATCTCGAGCCATGGAGATTAGAAGGGTAGGAGAGGGCATGACGTCAGCCGCGTAGCCTCCACATGCCATGCTCCCTTGACGCCTCGCCTCCTTCTCATTTTCCTCCTTGCTCTCCTCACTTACCATGCCAACGTGACCACATCACGTGACCGTAGATAGCCTTCGTCTTTATATGGGGTACTAGAATACACCACAGTCTAGCCTTCGATATGATAAAACCTACCGGACGGAGCGCGCGGAAGCCTGCAAGCGGTCCTTCTACAATCAACCATCCATCTCACACGTGACTTGTCACGCGCACCAATCGCCAGACAGATCAGCGGTCACGCTGGGCACAAAATCGTTTAAACTCTTTATGACTAGGCTTCACCAATATTGCAACGTGCCCCCTCCTAGTACTTCTAACCTCCTTGTCTCGAGCGGTAAGAAGTTGGGCGGAGTGACTCGCGTTACAGTCGCAAGGGCGGTTCCGTTCACTCGAGCGACCCAGAGTGGCGCGGAGCGACCGCCCTGCGTTCCAGTGGGAGAGACGGTTCCCGCTCACCGACGGCTTCGGTGACGTCCAGCCGGAGCGTCCTCGGATCCCGGAAGTAGAATCGCAGGAAGGCGAAAGCTCCCACGGCACAGAGGAGGATGCCGGGCAGCATGTGCAGCGTGAAGCTGGTGAAGTTGATGCCCTGGAAGCACACGAGGTATCCTCGCACACGGGGTCGACTTTCGCCTGTCATCGACTCCCGTATCTGCCGAGGCGGTTCCTCGTGTGACTGTCAACATGACTTGCGTGCATCTTTATGGCGTCACCGCTAACCGAAAGCTACAAAATTTCTGTATGGATATGTGATTCAAAGTCAAATTGCGGGGTGCCAAACCAACGACGTGTCCCTGTGTTCCAGGTGGTATGGGCTCACCAGCGCCTTGACCATGTGGTTGGAGATGATGATGACGTTGGGCGGGTCTCCGACGGGCGTGGCGGCGCCGCCGATGTTGGAGAAGAGCACCATGATGATGAGTACCTGCTTGGGGTCCAGACTCATCACCTCGCACAGCCTGCGCATCCCCGACGCCGGATCAGACTCACGGTGGAGGCATTCTGCTCGGTGCTCGCTTACTATCCGCTCATGTGCTAAAGACTCGGTCGTTGTCTTTGAGACCAGGGCGGAAAAACAGATAAAAAGGGCAGAGCAATGTCTCGCCATCAACGGCTGACAAAACGCTGGTTCAGAAGTACGTGAAAGCGTGTACCTATGTTTTAAATAGCTGGTGTTTAATAAATGAGCGAACACGCACGATTGATACATTAGGCGTACTTCGATGGACGGGTGCATCAGGTTGTTATATTCTTTTTTAACCGACTCGTTTTTTCTTTATTGCCAGGTGTAAATAAAAAAAAAAATCAGTTTTCACTCTAAGAATAAGTTGAAAGTGCTCCGCATCTACAGAGTCTACCACCGTCATGAACGCCTGGTACTCAAAAATGATGGAAGTGGTTTTTAACTTAAATAAAACACAAAGAGTTTACAGGGGCGACAGCCATTCGACACGTTAAGTTGCAAGCCGCAATTTGATCAATCCAGAGGAAAGTCACCCAATAGCAAAGGCTATCCTAGCACGTCCATTGTCAGGCTTCCCTCGCTTGAGCGTTTTACCGCTACACCTAAGTTTCTTGGGGAATGAGAAGGCATTTAATGACCGCTCGATCAGTCGGACCGATAAGCGTGGTACTTCGTCGGCTGCCCGACGATCGATTTATCAACTTTGGAACGCGAGCTCGAGTCACTGTTGCCGATTCCCGAGGTGGGATTTTGAGCGGCAGTGACAGGGTTTATTCATTATACAAAATACGCGGTGTTATCTGTAGACATATAGTGACACGACTACCTGCGGACACTCATCAAGCACATTCGAAGCTCGTTAGCTTCAAACAGATGTATGCCTAAACCATGTCTGCGGATAGTTTTTGCACGACCCATGTGACCGACGTGCGAGGAAGACACTTCTTAGTGAGTGTGGGCAGACTTTTTTGTACGGGTCGTGTTTTAAGCCGGTCTTTACAGGCGCCACAGCCCCAATTGGAGGCTTGGCCGGCTGCCCCGGCGCTTACTTGATCGTGACCGGCGTCATGAGAAGAATGGTCGTGACGTTGTCCAGAAAGGCCGAGATCACCGCCGCGAAGAGGCAGAGCATGCTGATCATGGGCCAGACACGACCGCGGGCCAAACGGTACGCCTGCGGAACAAGCCATTGATCCGTTCACGCCGCGGTTAACCTCCATGTCGGGGTTTTTTCAATATGTCCGGACCAGGCTTGTACACAAAGAGTTACTTTTACCTGGTTTTTTATGCGCTACTGAAAAAAAGTAACGAAATGCGTCACTCGTTACTTGCAAATAAAAGAACGGGTTAGATGCCTGCGTTACTTCAAATAAAAGTAATACGTTGCAGTTATCAATAAAAACTGACGGACGTTACTATTCATTTATTAAAACGTTTTACTGTTTCGAAGTTAAAGGTATGCACATGCGTCATATTAAAAAAGCAGAACATGTCCATGCAGAAATTTATTATAATGACTGGCTTAACGCGACCGTTGGTATTGGATAAACACTTGGGAAATAATCACACATAGGACAGAACACGGACAGGTTCTTTCTCTGTGCAATTCATTCGCAAGATTTTAGCATAATTGCCTTATCTTTTTTTACGGTTCCACTTAATACTCACAAGGAGAAACGCGAACGTATATTTAAACAAAATTTGAAGGTATGTGGGATAAGTGTAAAAATTCGTAGAACTTTGGCGCAGAAAAGGCAAAAAAAAAGTGTAATATATACATATATATATATATATTTTTTTTAGAGTACGGAAAATGATATAACAAGTAACGTAACTACGTTACGTGTACTCGAGATAAGTAAACCGCGTTATACGTTGCTGTCGAGACCGGTTATAGTGAGGTCGGTTATAACGCAATATCGGCTACAGCGAAGCGACCACAATTTCCCATTCCCTTTTGCATTTCGTTTTAACCGAAGTCGGCTATAACAAAATAGCGTTATGACTATTTCAAAGCTCGCTTTGAAGTAGTCAAAGCGAGCTTTGACAATTTTTACGCAGTGATGAGATGCGCTACTTCGTCAACGGGGTGCTCGAAATCGAAACCATGCCACTCCTCTCCATGGCCAGAGAGGTCCCATAATACGACACGTGAAGTGTTGCAACGCGAGCTTCCGCTTCACGTGCTCCGATAGTCGTTGACCTATTCGGCGCTAACCCCATAGGCCTACGACTATCCCCCTCCCCTCCCCCCCACACACACACGCACCCAAAAGCCGCGGTACTACCAAATTTGATATGCTTTGACCAAAGTCTGGGTAGTTTTGCCTTAAGTTTCTAGACAAGGGCCGGTTTAATGCTTCACAGCCTGCTTGTTCGGTTCACTTAAGAAACTTGAACCTCAATTGCGAAACAAGGGCCAGGACTAGGCTTCCCAACTAGTTCGGTTCATACGTGTCATCTGTGGCTTATGTCCAGCCCTTCCGCAATTATGTGGGGAACAAGAAAAAAGTCAAAAAAAAGTTTTCTGGTTCCAGCTAGAGGCTTATTATGTCCAAGGTAAACCCCTAAGATTGCCATACTTTGGCCAAGTAAGGCGGTTTTCTGGCATGGTGCCTGGGCGAAGACGGTCGGCGACCTTTGTCTCTGCCGTGTCAGTCTTTTTCTCCGTATTAAGAAGCGTGGACATAAAGAAGCGATACAATTTGACAGTAAAAAAGAGCTAAACCGACGATCAGGATGGGCTTTCTCCGACAAAAAGGGCACATTAGTCATACGACGGACTACAGCCAAAGCTGCGCGCCGCCAGATCCAATTACGAGCCATTTAGAAACCACGTGGCATTGCTTCAGTATGCCTAACAAAGCGGTACACTGACGGGCCCGCCAGAGCAATCTACCGTATGGTTTCGAGGTGGCCCATGATTGTACCTGAGGACCCAGAGCTTTAGGTGTAGTCCTCATTTGTGCTTGACGAAGTATGACAGGGTGGGAGTTCTTATAGGAACCGTATACAACGTGCAAGTTTGTCTTAGAAAAAATCGTAAGGGTGCAGGCGAGCTGGTGAATATTAACCATGTTGAATTAACCTGAGACTGGGGTAGAGAAGAAACATCAAGACGTTTCTGTCTCTTCTACGTTTTGACGTTTCTTTTCTACTTCAGTCTCAGGTTAATTCAACATGGTAAATTTTGTCTGCTTATCTCCCCAGATGAGGCCATTTTGTTTCCCCCAACCTCGACCCGTGACGGCTTGGCTGCCTCGTCATGGCGCGTTCTCTTTGCGTGTCCCTCCTTGCCTTCCGATCCACCAAAGACGCATTTTCGAATACTTGCGCACCGTATAGGGTCACCAACGTCGCTGTGCTCAGTTTATAAAACAAACAAACAAAACCTGGTGCCGTCTCAGAAACAGCAAGATGTGCGTTACCAGGACTGCCGCATAGTCGAAGAATCCGGTCTCGCAGAGGATGCCCACCAGGACCATCATGCCGAAAAGGAGGCAGAGGGTTTCCACGTCGAGCCAGGACACCACCCGCTCCAAGCTGGGACGCTGTGGGAGGGCCATACGCTCGTTACATTCGGGGCGCACATGAATAAAGCCTGAAGGCGCGGTCAGGCGGCTAATGCATACAAAAAACAGTCTGCAGACACGAAGCGGGTTTCTTCCTCGTGTGACGGTCATACAAAACCTGTCTGCAGACATGTATGAAGCCTACTAAGATGCTTGAGGCGTGTCCGTAGATGTCGTCACGGTTGTAGGAAATGGCGTCTTTTGTATTATGACTGAGGCTTAGGGCCTGGTGTCTTAAGACCTAGTCCGAGATTCAGTCGTGCAGATTAACAAAGATAGATACAGGTATAAACGGCTTGTCGCTCCTGTAACAGCAAAGCCTACAGGACGACTCAACGTGTTGTATACATCGCAAAGCCGTTTCGTTGTTTCCACTGCAAGTGCCTGAATGTTCAAAGCGATGAATACGACATCTTCATGCAGTCTGAAAGAAACAGTTACAAGTGCAGAGATTGTTCGAGACACGTTAATCAGTTTTCTGCGAGGCTTATTGGTGCTGGGTCTGATGGCGAGGCTACGCCCACCGCTGGGAACCAAGGCTTCAACATTGTCGAAGGCGCCTACGATAACGCGGCACGCGCGCAAGTTTCTTTAAAAATTCTTGGCCTGCCCGTAATGCTTTCGTCTCGGCTCGCTATTTTGACGGCCGAAGTCAACCTTCTATGTTTGGACAACAGTGCTCTCATTGTCGAGGTCACCCAACTTTGCCAAGCAGTATAGTGAACTAGACTGCTGTGAGCCAGGCAACCATGGCTGCCGATTAAGAGGCGCCATCCGTCTGCTTGACATCGACGGTGCCGTCTTAAGCTTCTGCCATGCTGAGAGCACGCTCCGAGGGTCCGCCACCAAGACAAATACGTGCAACAGCCCTCAGGGTTCCGTTTTCGTTTTCTTTTACACATGAAGGCAACGGCGAGTTTGACAACACGGTCCACAACGTGGGCGGCCGCCTTCGCGCTAATCAGGAATGTTGTCCAAAACCCCGAGTCTCCTTAGGTCAGGTCGGAAACTGCAGTTGCAGTGCATGGCCTCGTCCATCGCCTTTGAAGTTGTGTCCCGTTTGCACCCGACCACAACTGTTTCTGTCATTGAATCTACCGCAGCGACCGTTCTCAAGGACGAGCCGGTGATTTGCCCACTCGACTAAAAACACAACACCCAACATATAATTATTTTAATCTTGCTGTTGACCAGGAATCGTTGTTTGCGCTGAACAGCTCCGATGTGTGGCAGGATGGCTCTTTCTTTCGTCCTTTCTTTTGGTAGGCTGCCTAGTTCTCGGCAGAACGTGCCTGATTCGGAAATTTTAAACCAAGATAACCACGACTCGCAATCTTCACGTATATTATCAAAATGTCCGCGGCCTTAGAACTAGATCATATGAATTCATGTCCAATCTACTACGTAGGCTGTGCTTACGATATTGTAACTTCGTAAGAAACCTGGCTTCATGATGGAATCGCAAGTAGTGAATATCTTTCGTCGTCCTATGCTGCGTTTCGCAGAGATCGTGACTGGCGTAAAATACGGGGGTGGTGTGTCGATAGCTTGCGGGCAATTTTTGAATGCGCATAGACGTAAAGATTTAGAAGCTTATCAAGGATCGGTCTGTATCGGGATACCTTGTTCTGATGATTCAACCTTCTCATTGGGAGTCGAGGGCCTTGTCAAGCTGTATTTCACAGCTTTTTCCCTCGAGCTCCACCATCAATGCAGATGGAAATAAACGAATTATCATATTAGTTTCCTCCTGCTTCAGATGCAGAGCTTTTTATAAGCCACTTTTATTATCTTCAAAACAAAATAGATTCAAGTAAATACTGAGTGCATTTTTAACAGTGATTTTACGAATGTCGATGTTTGTTTTTCACAAATCTGTCATTTTAAAAACGCAATTTAAGCACTGCACTTAATTATGAGAATTAACTTATGCATGTTTATAAATTTAGGTAGGTGGACTAATTTTATAATGTGTATATTGCTGTGGTGCTTAACCGAAAAGGCCTTTGGGCTGTTGGTAAGCATGGGTGAAAATAAACATCGAATTGAAAAACCCAGGTCACGGCGCGTGATAAATGATTCTAAAATACGTTTCATATGATTATCCGTCTATTCGCAATATGGCCATAATTAACCAAATAAATAAAAAAAAGTGAAAACAATGGCCATTATATTTGAACAAAGGATATTTTGCTGGTTAGGTTCGATAACTCCCGATGATTCTTTCATCCTATCCGATACCGCGAAAAGACACCACATGTTCTTATACGTGCTCTACGTGTTCCTCTGAAGACCTGTTCACGCATTCGGCGCAGCACTCATTTGGCACGGAGTTAGCGCTACATCGTCTACGTTCAGAGAAAAAGTCCGGGTTTTGTGAAGCAGAGCGCTGATACAGTGCAGGTACGACTGAGCGCTGTGTCCTAACACCGAGTCAAAACTGTGCTGCAAGTGCGAAAAGGCCTCAGCTGCACTGAAATGCCCCCGACTGCTTTTAACGCCGCCTCTTGGCAAACTCATCGAAGCTAAGTGCGAACACAGCGTGAGGAAAAGCGCGCAAACGAGTCATTTTAGGTTGCGGCATGGCACACGGTGAACTTAGGTACACGGTCAACTTAGAGCAGGGGCTCTAAGTTGGACAGTCGGCGAGAATTTCTGCGAGATCGCCGACCACCCTCGATATGCCAGTGCCGCGCTGTGATTGGTCAGTGCTAAGGGCACGCGCGGCGCCGGCCAATCGCGGCGGTTGGTGCTCTCACCGACGTTCTCACCAAGTGTCCCACTTAGAGCCCTAAGGGACTTGCCTCGCCAACGATGGACAGGAACGCCACCGCCATCGTCGCTCCGATCAGGGCTGCCAGGGTCCGGTGGACGAGCTCCGGATGAAACGAGAGGCAGAGCACTACAGTTAACCACGTGACGGTGCTCAAGTTTGGCTGCAGTTGACAGTTCAAAATCAGGCCGCAGTTTAGTTAGATAATTCAGAGGTTACTTTGTTGGGGAAATCTTAAGGCCTGTTCATACACTTGCGATTGTTTACGACCGTGTGCCTTAAAATCTATTAAAATATCTCTTACGATGAGAGAGCACACTGGCGCCATCTGTCGGGTAGCCGTAGAACACTTGACACTTCCGTACCTATCCTATTTGTTCGCGCGTAGTTTTTTTTTTTTTTTTCTTTGTTCGAAAATTTGACGATGTTCTCAACAACCATTTCTTGTAGATAGTAGGTATATTTGATCTCGATAATACCGCAAAACATTAGCTCTAGCCAAGTGCAGTTCCAGTGTAAGCTCGAAGGGCGCCAGCGTGTCAGCGTTTCCCCTCGTCGTAAAAGATCGCAAAAACTCGGTCCTAAGCAAGCACAACTGTGTCAATGGACCCTTACCGTTTTCAAGTTTTCTCTGCACGCTCTCTGTAGGCGCCCGAGTGCTTTCAGAGGGATGTACAATTTGCAGGATATTTAAATCCGCTCTTTTAATTCGGCAGGTTTTTGTGTGCATCTGTTCTAGAACATAAGAAACGCTAATAACTTGGAAAATGCGGTGTACAACGTAATGCTGAATGCTGCGGTTCAAGCAAAAATTAGTATGCAGCATTGCCGGTTGGGAACATTGCGCACAAAGACACTGGATCTCGTTGAAGTACTGCATTCCATGGCTTCTGCAGAGGAGGGAAGCTCCCTGGCAGTCTCCTGTCGACCGAATGGCAACTCAGGAAAGGTGGCTGCCAAAACTGACTTTCAGTCAAGTGCGTAAACATTTTTGTTTCCATTCGCAGCTTGACATGATTGACAGCTTTTTGGCCCTAGGGAGTGTATGAAAGCTCTCAGTTTCATTCCCCCGTCGATGCAATGAGTGGCGTCCTTACGGATTACAGGTTAGCTATCCCAACCGACTCATTTCGAACGTTTACCTCACTTCCTAGGTGGTATTGGGAAAAGCCTGGCAGTTCCGCGACTTCCGCGAAACTAACGGCGTCACTGGAACTTTCAACCGCTTTTTATCTTAGCCCGCAGCTGATTGACGGCGTTCAGTGCCGCATTGTGGAAGATTCCAGCGACCTCAAAGTGTAGAAAGACACCGGGAGCACTTTGGGGCTCTCACCTCGAATCCAATGAGGAGGTAGAGCACGCTTAGGACGATGAAGGCCAACGGGATGCTGATGCCAAACTCCTCCTGCTTGGGAGTGACCTGCACCTGCATCGCGTAGCTGGAGCCTGGGGGACCGTCCACTTCGACCAGGAGGCGACAACGCCGGGCCCTAAAAACAAAAACAACGCTGCTACATAAAATTAAAAAAAAAAAATCACGCAGGGTGGCGTTACTTTAGTCGGACAATTCGCTTCTAGTGGGACATTGGCAAAGGTGCAGTGGAAATAGTAGAATACAGCATAGAATACAGCAAAAAGGAAAGCGAGAGAGACATACCCGAATTCGTGCAAGTTGATGACCTCCTGGATTACGGAATCGACGAGCGCCGGTGCTGCAGCAGCGGGAGCCGTGGGAGCTCGAAAGAGTTCCTTGAGGATGACCGCGTCGCCTGACGTTTCGTTGGAGAACCCTACAAGTGCGACCCTCGTGAACACGTTGGTGATGTTGGCTAGTGGTTTGGAGAGGAACGGGCCCTTCAGGCTCACGTGAACAGGTTCGGAATTGTTGCCGAGCTTCACCACTAGTGGCGTTGGGTCGACGAGTCAAGAACTATTCGTTCTACTGACGTGGGAGCGTACAGCAGCACACAAAGGAGGGCTTACAATCGGCTTTCGACAGTCTTGCGCAATCTTAATTCAGCTCGCTCGGACAAATGTTTCTGCTACATCCCCATATAGTCCATTCGCCATTACGCCTTTGGCACATGGTGGCGTCGTATGCTCTACAATCGGCTTTCGACAGTCTTGCGCAATCTTAATTCAGCTCGCTCGGACAAATGTTTCTGCTACATCCCCATATAGTCCATTCGCCATTACGCCTTTGGCACATGGTGGCGTCGTATGCTCTACGTATAAATCGTGTAAATACTCTTCCAACGAAGACAAATATCAATGACCATCATGGGGATATTCTCTTTCATCACGAAAGAGAATATTTTGTTGCTTTATATAACAATGTTCTCCAACATGTAACTCACTTTTTGTTTGCTTCTTTATATAATGTTTTCTTCAGCAGGTACCCCCACCTCGTGTAATGTCCGTAAGGGCCTTCAAGGTTTAATAAATGGTGATGATGATGATTCAAGACATTTCGCACATTTCAAGAGAAGATATGGAAACACGCGCGTGCCGTGGCTGAACCCGAGACAGGGAAAGAAAGGGAAGATATTTAGAAAAATGAACAACAGTTTCAGATCCCAATGCGCGAGACGGTGTGTGTTGTCCCTCTTCTCACCGGTCTTTCTTTTTTGTTTTCTGTCTCAGGTTTAGACAAGTCAAATGTTCACCAGCTCGATTGCGCGCTCATTCTTTTGAAATGCGCGTGTTTTCAGAGAGAAGCCGTCACTATTTGAAAATAGCTAGCATATAGACGTTTCCACAAGGGTGCCACCATCTTGAATGTCGCCACTTCCAGTATGGGCGAAAACATGGTTTTGCCGTTACTACTCTAATAGAATACGCCTAGGATATAATCGTAACCGTAACCCATTCTCGTTTTGCCTCCTCTCAATTTTTTTCTTCTATTTACAGAATGAAATGCCTTATTCTTTTTTCGTAGCCCATATCGGATATGCTATACCGGGTGGCCAGGGACGAGTGTAATCGAAGAAGGTCGATAGCGAGGGTTAGCCATATCACACACCTACGTATCCGCTCAAAAAATGACCGATTCACTATGATTGACACTGCTTAAGGGGAAACTGAAGAGGTTTTGTAGTAGAGAAAAAGAAATTTAAATCGTCATTATTTGGCCTTTAGAATCACGACTTTAAAATTCTTTTTTTTAGATCGATTTGCCAAGTAATGACAACGTCGCTTTTAAAATATCTATGAGATTTCGACATCTTCGTGCCTTCCGCAGGTCTTACCCGAGTGGTCAGAAACTTTGCACGTATTCACTAACAAGCGGCACGCGCAAAGCAGTTGAAACCTCTTGATATGGAGTCACACCCAGCGGTTAATTTTTCGTTTTTTCTCGCGTCCATTGATACATTCGGGTCAAATGCCCGTGATAATTATATTGGCAGGATAAAAATATATTAGAAATCACAACTAACTAGTCGTTTCAAAAACCTATTAATAGTGAACAAAAGGTAAGGGCGCAAACGAGCTGGTGGTGGTTAAACATTTCACAAAAACCCCGAGACTGGGACAAAAAGGGACGGACAAACACAAAGTCTCAAAAACTATTAATAGTCCCTTAAAGTATTGGCATGTTCAAAGGCCTAGATTAGAAGGATACAGTGGGATCCGTTTCCTGCGGTCACTTGGAATTTTTCCCACGTGTTTTCTTCCTCTTCAAAGAAACTCATCGTGATCTGCAAAAAAAGTGGAGTAGCGTTTATAAGATAATTGCACACTTTACTGAAGTCACACGAGTAATCGAAAATCTGGCAATTAGACCGATCTCACCAGGAGTTCCGCGTCGACAGCGCTACCACTTTGCATTCTGGTACCTGTAGTTCTGTCCAAGTTACCGGCCGCGCTAAGTGCGCGTTTTATGCCCGGCGTTTGGAAAGTTTTGATTTAGCGCGAGGCTTTTAATCGGGTGCTTTCTCACAATGGGTGGCGTTGCCTGTTGTGTGTGAGGATGCTACAACACCAGCACCGGGCAAAAATGGATCGGATGTCATGTCTTTCCGAAAGAAAGCAGCCTCCAATAAGAGCGCCTAAGAAAGGTAAAGAGAGCCGGACAGAGCGGCGTGAAAAAAACGTTTTTTCATTGTTTCGCTATTTGTTTCATAACTTATATGCACCATATTGCACGTTAGCTAAAGAGTGCAAGAGTACAGGGCACGAGACATGGTAGGGCGTGCCGAAGTGTTCCGTTACTGTGGAACCTTTCTGAGCACTCGCTTCGTAGAGGTCTATCTCAGTTGATACCTCTGGTACCTGTAGTTTTTTAAGCTCTTGCCAATTCGTGTTCGTAAGGTGAGCGATGTCTTCAGCCAGGAGAAGGGGCGACGACTCGGCGACGTCTTCGTGCGAATCAGCTTGATGGTCGGGCGTGTCGTGCGGAATAAAATCCCAATTGTTTTGATCGGTAAACAATTTCTCTTTCGAAGCTAGACAGATTCGCCGGTACCGTGAACAACAGTTCCGAAGTAGAGGTCCCACGCAGTCATCTGCCACCTTCGATTAGTCCGCTTCGTTCAGCCGTCCAGTCCACGGCACGACTCCATGTTGAGAGTTACAGAAAGAATGCACAAGATGCTTCCAGTTCTCTGTGCAACTTTCTTTTTTTTCAAATCAACGTATTTGCAGTTTTTTTAGAAGCCACAAAAAAAATGGGTATCATATTTTTATATTTTTAAAATTGAGTGCGTGCCTTCAATGACCTATGACTGATTATATTTAGTGTGTGTGTCTAAACCAGAGAGAACGGCACGTGACTACGGAGACGAGAGTGAGCGCGACTCAAACCGGCGAGTCCTCGTTCGGCGGTTTTCGAGCGGAAAGGAAACAAATTTTGAGCCGCAGATTGTGTTCTACATAATTAACCTCTTATATGTCATGTAAAAAAAAAAAAAAGGAACACTGTGGCCAGCATGAATATACTGTCAGTGTCCATTTAAGATGTCCGAGCACCCGGAGTGCTCGAGTAGTGGCGGCGTTTTTTTTCTCGCGGCATCACAAACAACACAAGCTCATGAAGTACACACATGACGGGAAAATTCAAGCTGATATCGGGGCGTCCCAAGCGATGATGTACGATAACGTACGCATACCGCAGCCACATGCAGCCGAGAAGTCGGAAAACGATGACTACAAGTAACCATGTTGAATTAACCTGAGACTGGGTTAGAGAAGAAACATCAAAACGTAGAAGGGACAGAAAATAGACAGGACGACGACGTCGTTCTGTCTATTTTCTGTCCCTTCTACGTTTTTGACGTTTCTTCTCTACCCCAGTCTCAGGTTAATTCAACATGGTTAATACTCACCAGCTCGCCTGCACCCTTACGATTTTTTCGACTACAAGTAGCATGGCGGCGGCACCACTTTCGGAAAGCACGCGCCTGCGCATTTCGCTTGACGAGATCGGTCTGTTGAGGCTGTGCTTAGATATCAGGGGGTCTGTAGACGCCCCCGGCCTCTAAAGAACCGGAAGAGCACTCCCCGAAGGATGCTGATTAAATATCCTAGTATGAGAGGGCTATATGTACGTAATGACCAATAAAAGAAAAAATGGAACGTTTCTTTACGTTAATGATAGGAAGCAGATAAAACGATTTTCAGAGGTTTGTTTATGAAAAACGATATGAAACCTTAATTGTGTGTCTACGAGGGCTACACTTTTATTACAAAATAAAATTGGATTTTTTTGCAGTAGAAGCAAGGTTACAATTTTATCACCCGAATCAAAATTCAAAACAACTATTAGGAATATGATGCACGGAACGTCAAATTAAGGCTGTTATTTTTCCATTATTTTTCCGTTGTTACAACTCAAATAAGCCACGAAGGTGACTCGCGGTTAGCTTTTTGCTTGAAGTTAAATTTACCACAATGGGGAATACTTCCTTCCCAAGCGTCACCCCGCTTGTGGTATCAAAACAGTTTGGGATTGAGACCACCTTTCACGGCAGAGACCACCTACAGCGGCCTGAAGACCACCTACAGCGGCCTGGAGACCACCTACAGCGGCCTAGAGACCACCTACAGCGGCCTAGAGACCACCTACTAGAGGCAAGAGACCACCTACTACGGCCAAGAGACCACCTACTACGGCCAAGAGACCACCTACTACGGCCAAGAGACCACCTACTACGGCCAAGAGACCACCTACTACGGCCAAGAGACCACCTACTACGGCCAAGAGACCACCTACTATGGCCAAGAGACCGCCTACTATGGCCAAGAGACCGCCTACTACGGCCAAGAGACCACCTACCACCGCCAACAGGCCACCTACCACCGCCAACAGGCCACCTACTACCGCCAACAGACCACCTACTACCGCCAGCAGGCGACCTATCACGGCAATGAGACCTCCTACCATGGAAAAAAGACCATATACCATAAAAAGACCACCTACAATGAAAAAAAGACCACCTACCACGGCAAAGAGAAGCAGGAGGACGAGGG